TTTATTTATTTTAACACAATAAGAAAAAAGGTATAATGAATGAAATCCCATGAGAATACTCTAATTGTCTATTCCTCAAAAGCAATGTGGCTTTCCTCTAATGAAGTATTTTCTATAAATGATTTTTATATTATTCATTAAAAACAGATTAGCCTGCAGAATTTTGTAAAAATTACAAAAAGAACAATATATGTTACAAAAAATTTTTTCAAAATAAAGAAAAATATGACACCATATACTTGGCTTTGATAGGGTTTTTTGAGAGAAGGGTTTTTTGTTTTGTTTTAGCCACTGGTCAGTTATAATAGAGTAAATGAAATTCTATACCTACATTCCTATCCCATTTCAATGTTCCTTTGCCAAAGACAAATTAGAATCTGTTCTTTAAAATACTCCATATTAGTTCACTTTAAATACTCAACATGCTCAACTTGTACCTAAATTGGCCATAAAACTAAGACATATATTCACAATGAAAACATAATCCAAATTTCTTACCATGTCCACACCAACAAAATATCCTAAGCTCTCTTTTCCTGGCAAAACATCACAGAATATAACTGTTCCAGATTCTATAGTTTCTCCAACCTTCAAAGAAACTCTGGAGTTTATTTCCAAAGGGGGGAGTTCAACCTGCAATGTGTCCACTGGGCCTGCATAATCACTTTCCAGTCCATTGTCATCGTCTTCTATGATTTCTAGCTTGTCCAATGCAACAAATACTCCACAATCTTCATCACACTGAAAAAGCTGTTTCCCTTGATATACCCCATCAGTGAAACCTTGACCACGACCTTCTTCCTAGTTTTTAAGAGATTAAAAAAAAAAGATATAGAAAGATTATCCACAGGAAAAAGGATCTATCTTAGGGATTCCAGGGAAATTATTTTGGAAAAATTCTGAACAACACATAATAAATATAATTATTAGCAGTTATTGGTGGATTTATGATGTTTAAGACATAAGGAAAAAAGGTAAATCTGATGCTGAATAAAATTACCTGATAATTTCATTCGCTATGTCCACCTTTGAACCTCAAACTACCCACCACGTGGCCACCTCAATTGCCTTTGGATTTTAGTTCTGCACTAGAACTCCACTGTGCCCTAGAAGAATTAGCAATTGCCCTTATATCAGTAGTTCTTTTGGGCATTAATTTGACCCTTCAGATAATGCTGAACCCTCAATCCATGGCTGTTGCATTCTGGGAATCATTAGCAACTGTGCAAGTGTCTGGTATCTCCTCAGAGAAGAACTCTGTGGAGAGATGGAAAAAAAGAGGTCTGCTCCCAGAATAGATTCCTATATCCTGCTGCTATTGTTTTCCTTTTCCACAGTCATAAAATAATCAGAGCAATTAAAAAAATAAAAATAAAATTATCTGATAATTTCAAATTATTATATAATGAGTGAGTTGAGCTGGATTCTCCATTGAGATTCAAATATTACTTTTGTCATAAAAAGAAACATTTACTTTAACAGCAATTTTAGCTGCATTTCTGAGCACTTACTACATGCCAGCCACTAAATCCCATGTCAACATCAAAAAACACTACAAGTTGTATACTATCATCAGCACTTTAGTGAGGGGACACAGATTTAGAGAAAGAAGGTTGGTTGGGTAATAACCTGGCAGTCCAGCTAGTAACTGGCATAATTAGCAAATAAACCCTCAATATTTTTACTGCTTATAAAATTAAATCAAGAGGCAATAGGGCATGACATTCTAGCCACAAGAACGTCAAAATGTATTTCAAATTTAAGTTCTTGAAAATTAATATTAACTTTGGAAACATTTAGAGTTCTTGGGTCTAAGTTGATTTGACACGTATTATCAAAGACAACTATGAGCAAGTTTAAAATTGCTGCAACTTATTTCTTAAAAATCTTATATCTAAATGTTTATGACTTAATAGCACACATTAAGAAATGAGAAACCTGTAGATGATAATGTCACAAGATCATAAACAATTTCTGAAGTGATTAATCATAATTAGGGTTCACTTTTTAATGTAAGCAATGTTAAAATCTCTTAGATACAAAGTGTATAACAACTATGTCATCTATTTGTGTGTTCCTATGACATGAGGCAGTTTTTAACAACTTATATCATCTCAATTCATCATTAAAAAGTAAATCCTGGGGCTAGAGGTACAGCTCAGTGGTAGAACACATGCCTAGCATGCAGAAGCCCCACATACATACATACATACATACATATTTACATACGTAGTAAATCCTAAAGATCATGAATGTTAGAAATTACTGAAGACTTCTAAGAAAACTTACTTTCTGTTTCAAGAGGAAAAATACACACGTGCATACAGATACACAGAGACATAAACACACATACATGCACACGGTCCACTAAAATGGATCATCAAACTTACCAGTAATTCTACTCCAAAGAATATCCCCGACACCGTCCTCTCTGCTAATAAGGGTCCTCTGAAGCGCACAACTCCTGGAAATTTCTCTTCCCCAGACCGCAGCTGCACCTTCACAGGGCAGCCCACATCTATCTGGAGACCTTTACTTAGTCTGCTTCTGTTTTTAAACAGGCTCAGCCTCTCCTCACAGTTGGTTATGGCCAACAGTAACTCTGTGAATTTTTCGTTTATCTCTACAACATCCTTTTCGTCAACAAAGAGAACTGCGTGGGGTTGCTCTAGGATTTTTAATCCAATCTGATTTTTCTTGCCTTTGGCGGAAGGAATCCTCGAATGCCCCACAGAGCGGTCTTGGATGTACTGTCCTATACTCCCCTTTGGTACTTTAAGGAGCTTTTGTGTCTGTTTGTCTGTAACGCTGCATTCTTGAAGAAGCAAATAAAAAATCCGCTCTTCCCAATAGGGTGAAGTAACTTTTTCTTGGCTCCATAAGCCTGAACTCATTGTGATAGTAACTTCAGAACATTAGCTCAAAAAATGAACCACTAGTAAGTTTGTCGTAAAACTGCAAAAGATAAAATTCATTGGCAGTCCCAAAGTATGTTTTTAGCAATTTGGTGTCCATGCTGTAAAAAGACAGCAAATCAAAATGCCTGGTGAACAAGCAAAAAATAAACTTTAGACTTCATTCTATATAACCTAAAATTAAGTTTAAAGGCTTTGAAAATTTTCACTTGACTAATACACACACACACACACAACACACACACACAATATTTCCAAAAACACCTAAAAAGGATAAAAGACATATATAACTTGTATCTACAACTGTAATACTTATGGAAATCCAATTGTAAAGTACCTTCAAAGACAATATAATGATGATTGTTTCCAAGACTTTGTAATTTATAAAACCAGATTCTACTAAAAAAATTAAAGTTACCCTCATATACATATTCTGACACTTTTAAACTTTAAAAAGTAGCAATTTTTTTGAGACAAGGTCTCACTATATAGTCTAGGTTGGCCTTGAACTCACTATGTAGCCCAGGCCAGCCCTGAACTCTCTGTGATCCTCCTGCCTCAGCCTCTCAAATGCTGAGATTATAAGCATGCACCACCATGCCAGCAAAAGTAGCAATTTTAATGGGTTCTACCTAACTTTGATAAGCTACTGCATTGAGCAAAACACACATGAATCTTATAAATAAAAAGGTTATCATTTCTGAACACAGTTTAAATAAAAACTTATACACTAAGAGTTGAACATCTTTTATCAATAAAAATATATCACATTACGAGACTGTAACAATTCATTTGTCTATTTTGGTAATGGAACATTTTACTTCTGACTCAGTTTTATTTCTTTAATCTTATACACTTTGTTCCTAGGGAAATGCTAAGGACATTCATCATAGTTATCATCTAATTTCTCACAATCACAAATAATCAGATATAATCTCATTAAAGATTTTTTTTGTCATCAAAACTCAGACTACATGACAAAGACATACAATTTCAGCACAGTGATACTGAATCATAGATGCTTCTATCAAATATAGTGTTTTATAGCACAGTTTTAACTGTATGCAAGGCAGGAATATACAAAAGATTTTGTTTTCCGCTTTGAATTTTTGTTTGAAATTTTTACAAAAATAATAATCTTTCCCAATGAAATAGCCTTTCTAAATCTTGTTTTAATAGATGGTTAAAAACTAGTCAATTTTATTAATTCAAATTGAGGACTTCACTATTTTAATTATTTTGCTGAAAAATAACAGCTCATAGGAATTCTCTGTCACAAGAATGTGGCTATTTGGTTTCTAATACAGTACTTATTTAATCCTTATTTGAGATGGAGGTATCATTTCCATTAATCTGGCTAACAGCAACAACTGATAGCACTATCATAGTTATCCACTGTCTGCTTAAAGAATAAACACCTCTTTAAATCTAAAGAACCAAACTTAGGCTTAGTTATTTAACTTAGTGACCAAAAAAGCTGGCAACACATTTCTTTTAGAAAGCATTGTTCAGTAATGAGGTGCACCATCATGGAAAAGTTTTTACAAGTCTGAACCTCTGGCAAGCCAAAATGAGACATACAGGTTACCTAAGACAGGATAAGAGTCTGGCACCCCTTCAGACCAACAATAGTTCAGCGCTTTTGTCATAACTTGTAAGGACACAGGCAGAGGTAGGTACGTGAAGTCTCTTTTGTCTTCTTTTTTGTTGTTGTTTTGTTTTGATAATGTGCTCACTTCAATTCCACTTGAGGGCACTGTCTACTTCAGCTGGAATGGAATCAATTTATATCTGCCACTTACATAAGACACCTGTGGACACCTTATTCTTGGCACCACATAAACAAAACCCCTTAAAAGGTTGCTTGAACAACTAGCTGAGACTTTAATTTGGCTCTATGCCTTTCAGAAACCAGATGAAGTGTTTGGCTTTTTTTCTTTTCTTTTCTTTTTCTATTATTTCTTTTTAATAAAATGCTTTTAAAAGCCAGCACTTTTCAACAAGGAAATTATTTTTTCTTGGTCACTGAATTATCATTAGGAATATAAATTATTATGTGTGATTCTAAATATGGAAGGCTCTTTGTTACTTTGTTTAAAGGCTTTTTAGGTAATGCTTTCTGCGCTCTTGCGCCCGCTTTCTAAACATCTACAGTCTACAGTTCTCTCTTGCAATAAGCCATTTTCTGTGGTTTCCTGTAGCATGCATTTGACTCTTTTCAGCCTTGTTGCTTTCCAACTTATTGCTTCTGATTGGTTCTGAGAAACCAGGTAATAGATTTGTTTATTTACAGAAACCAAAGCAACACTGGAGGAATATATAAATTCTGCAAGAGTCTTTAGGATTAAAGTACAGAGGCCATAATGCAGAGATATTATTTTGTTTGCTTTTAGAAGGCTTAAGTAGTCAAAAAGCAACATCCAAAATACTGACCAAGAACCAAGAAGAGTCTAGGTTCTTTTTTAAATGTACTTATATTTTTTGGCCAAAAAAATTTTTTAAAGGATAAAGAAATTATTTTTGTAAATTTCTAAAAATGGCTACCTTCAATTAAAGTCAGAACCTTCTTTGAATTTTAGTAATTATTTATATGCTAATAATCCCTACTCTGTTTGTTCTCTAGCATAACAAATCATGTCACAATTTAAAATAAAAACAAGTGCAACAGAATATTGACAAAATTAAACTATTATATGTAATGCAGTGGGACACTATATTTTACATGAAATTGATTACAAAATTGCTTCAGCTTACTTACGGGCAACAATCCACAGTGAAAAATTGATATAACTACCTGGTTTATAAAAAGGTATATGGCAATAAATAATAATTTTCAAGTACTATTTTTCAACAGTGAACTACACAAGGTGTGGTGACTTTTTGCTACCTTACAAGAGAACAACGGTAATGAGCTTAGAATCAATAGGATGTGTCAGGTTAGACAGCTAGAACAGCGAAAGCAAAAGTCATAAAATATAGAGCTGGGGATTTGGCCCAGTGGTTCTGCTGCCTGCGCCACATGCAAGGATCCGAGTTCAATCCCCAGTACCAAAATAATAATAATAATAATAATAATAATAATAATAATAATAATAAAGTTATAAAATATTTAAAAGTATTACTCAAAAATAAAAAGCATGTGTCCTTTCCTCTTTTAGAAAGAACATATAAAGAATGGTTTGAAACTATCATATAAAAATTAATTCTCTTTTGCAACTCACAGAGAAAGCTGAATAGGGAATTTTATGGCCCTAGTCTAGAGATACACATGAAGATAAATTTAATTAATAATATTCTCAAAGTATCAGTATTACAACAGAAATATGCTAATACATATTTTCTCCCACTGGAGGAATGAATATAATGTCAACATTTTTTGGGGGGGTGGGGGACCGTGACTTGCTTTGTAGCCCAGGCTGGCCTCAAACTTGCAGAGATCCTCCTACCTCAGCACCCCCAAGTGCTGGGATTACAGGAGTGCACCACCATGCCCGGCAAAAATATTCTTTCAGAGGGCTATGCACAACAATTAAAGTCAAGATGACCAAGCAGTGAAACTGACTGAAGATAATACAAAGGAAAAAGATGCAGATCCCACTGTAAATGAGTTTTTCACCAATCAGGAAGGCTGGTTTATAGGTTTAGTATATTGATGCATTCAATAAAGTGTTAGACACTGAAAAACACAGAAGCATTAAGATCTGCCTTCAACAAATCATCATCCCATTTCACCCAGCCTCCCCTTTTAAGCAAAGACCACAAGAACAATAGGAAAACAAGAAACACAGTCAAACTGAAAATCAGGACAGTGTGCTAGGGTAGGGGTCGAAGTGAAGGGAGAAATTTTCACTTCATGCTCTTATTATTTGCAGGTGGAGTCACTGTAAGGGTGAGTATATCACAAATGACTCATCTAAATACTATCTTATTTCAGGCTAGTGAGTGATCATGAATATCTTGATAATTACTGTTAAGTTCTGAATGAAGATACCAAAGAGTTGAAATATTTAAGCTTAAAAAGCATGCTGAATAGAAAGGCTTTCTTTTGAGGACACTGGAAACAAGAGAACAATTCAGGGTCACATAGATCTGAAACCATATCTGGTTATCTGAGCTTATTGATGGGCTGAATTCAGATTAAAAGAGGATTCAACTGTAATGGTTTATAGTAATGTAATGGTTTACAATTAAACCAAGACAAGACTGAAGCACACAAATTGATCAATTTTCTATGAATGAAATGGAAAGATGATCAAGAAATATGTCTAACATAAAAAAAATTAAAGATTAGAATTACCAAGTCGCACATAGTGTAAATGATCATTAGCTACATAAAATGGACAATGAGTAACTTATCTAGAAGATACAATATCATTTTGATGCTCAAGTAATCAGGTTATACCATTCATAAGAACCTCATGACAGGTGTAATTCAAGAACTCCTGGCATCTCCTTAGATATCCTGTTCTAAAAACCACAGGAAGCTACCTAAATCAGAATAAAAATTATAATACTAAAATATTACCCCAAAATAAAAATGGCAAAAAAGAGGTAGGAAGGTTAGAGCGAACACCCAAGAAAGAAAACATGTGCGCCTTTTTCCACATGCTCCTAGATAGCCAGAATGATTACCATTTTAAGAAAGAACATCTCTCAGTAAAAGAACAAGTTGTTATATTATACAGCTAAACAAAACTATAGAGATTCTAGAACCAGAAAACAGACTGACTAGGTTTAAATAGTCCTCACAAGTACACAGTCCCTAAAACTAGTGGGACTTACAAGGTATTTATTTTTTAAAAATGCTCTTGAAGCAGCATGCTCATGTCAGAAGGATAAGGAACACTGCTGTCTTGCTAGAGTTAAATCTAGCCATTCCATTCCCAAACTGAGAATTCCCCAATTCCAACTTCTTTCTACTTCCAGGGCCAAGACCAGAAACTTAGTTAACTCAAATGGTAACAATGAAAACCAAAATGTCATTTCATCATCCTAACTGCCAAAATCTTCCTCAAGGTTAAAAAATAAAAAGACTCAGTAGGTGGGAGTATTTAATGATTTTTGCCTAAAATATCACTCACTATCCTCTGAATAAATGACCACTATCCACACTACTAATGGCTGATCAAGGAAAATTTCACAATTATGAAATCAAGTTGTTTTAAGACTCACTTGAAACTAGCTTCCTACAACCCATGCCAATCATGATACTTATAAATTCTGCATAAACAATGTAAAAACCTCTGACAAATTTAAGATCACCGGGTGAAAATCAGGAACAAACTGTAAAATAATGTGATGAATAGGATTATTATTCTTCTCCTCTGTTCTTCATTAATGACTCCCTTTGATCAAAAAGAACCATAACTTTGGCATGCTAGACCACAGAAATCATTGTTGCTCAATATCCCTTACTTTATATAACAGGTGGCCTAGGCTTATAAGCACCTCAAAAAAATTACCAGCTCAAAAAAGCTTTCTTCAACAAGAATACATTAAAATTTTGCAACAGACATCTGAGAATGTTGTGGGTATTATCAATATTCAGAGTACATGAACTTTGGTAAGAATTTCCAGTAAGTCGTTTTCTCCTAATACTGTTCTACATCAAATCCACCCACTACCCAGTGGGGAATGGCAGGCTAAATTCTTAGGGCCATTCAACCTACTTGGGTCATGAGGGGGTGTGCAGAAAATCAACACTTGAATCGACAGCCTCTTGAGGCCTGAGTTTTTCTCTGGGAGCTATGATGACAAAATGAGCAATCTTATTCTGATCTCTAATTAGCACCAATTAAAAAGCAAGGTATGAATGCTCCTTTGTTTAGCGAACTATACAACTTTCCAGGGAAAATAGGAGGGGAAGAAGGAATGATGGGGGTTGGGAGGCTGCAAGGCCACAGGCTCAGTAACTAGAAGATGACAACCATCCTAAACCATGCAAATGCCAAAGAGCGGAATGGAAAAGCAGCCAGGTACACGAATAACCGGATGACTGACCCGCCTAAGCATCAAACTCAAGAACACCATCTCTCTCCAAGACTTCACAATTTCCTCAGGGATGGTTAATAGATAATAAAACGAAAAACAGAAAGTAAAAAAGAATGCTATCTATGCAGGGCACACCTTTCAGCTGAAGAACTCTGAGTTGTGTAAAAGCCAGCCTCACGCTGGGAAGGGGGGAAACGGAAAGAAAAACCAGAACACGCCATTAAGGAGACCAAACCCTGACTGCTCTTCCTGGACAGGAGCCACAGGCATTCCCCCCAAAGCGACCGATCTACATGCCTTAAGACACAGACAGGAGACATTACAACCTGGGGCTCTCGCTACCAACGGTGGCTGTCAGGAGTCAGCCAGCAGCCCGTGCCTCGGTTTCCCCATGTGTAAATGGCCGGAGGCAAAGAGGGAGACTGAGTCCTGCCTGCTCCCACTAACGCCCTGTCTCTCCCGGGGTCCCGGCGGCAGCCACCACGCTCCCCCCGACTCGGGAGCCCTACCGGGAATGCTCGGGGATTGGGGAAGCCGAGCCAACGTCACGGGCTCAGCACCTCACGGGCCCGGCGGTTCGGGCAACTA